TGATTCGAATTCGATATTCGTGATTCGAATTCGAAATATTCGAATTCGAATTCGAATGATGTTTTAGATTCGAAATTATAACGAATTCGAATTCGAATGTGTAGATATTCGATTCGAAATTCGAATATTCGATTCGTTAACAATAATTATATAAATTTTACAAATTATGCATAATATACATTTTGTTTATAATATATGCATATATATATTGTTATATTCCTTTTATGACATAAAAAGTAAAAACATCATAAATTAACAAATTTTTCTAAAAATATATGAAAAATAAAATTTATTTTTGTAATTATAATATTTTTATACAAATTATATATAATATACATTTTGTTTATAATATATGTATATATATAATATTGTTATATTCCTAGTATTTTTATGACATAAAAAGTAAAAACATCATAAATTGACAAAATTTTCTAAAAATATATGAAAAATAAAACTTATTTTTGTAATTATAATATTTTTTAATTATAATATTTTTCTGAAAATGAATTTCGAATCGAATCGAATATGTTCGAATATTCTAAACGAATCGAATACGAATCAAAAATGAATTCGTTATCGAATCGAATCACAAATCGAATCTTCGAATATTTTAAACGAATCGAATCGAATCTCTGGGTATTCGCTTTGATTCGATTCGTTTACAACCCTACCATCCACACTGCTAGGACTGGTGGAGTTGTCGAAAGCCCCGTCGGTATTGATTTTTACCCAACCTGAGTCCAGCGGGGACCAATGAATTAATCGTGTCATGGACTGCCTCAGATCGGCCCCAAGAATAACGTACGCCTCCGTTGTGCGTAAATAATTTTCCATGCGGCTTAAAACCTCTAATCTACGGGCCTCGCAACTCATTTTTTTTTTATTAAAACTTTGATCGTTCCTCCAGCTCCACGATCGCCAAATCGCCCAAGAGAAAAGGCAACTCCAATTCCGAACATTCCCCATGCGTGGCCTAATTAAGTTCTTATAGAGCCAATAAGTAAGGGGTTGTTCGAAGAAATCATGTTTATGAGCGGCGAGAGTAAGCAATCCCAAAGGCTCCTAACAAAAGGGCAATCTCTTAAGACGTGAAGTACTGTCTCACTTATGCCACAAAAGTTACATTCATCCGATTTGGAGATATGTCATCAATGTCGCTCATTATTAGTAAGGAGGCGTTCTTTAGAAACGAGCCACAAAAAGTTACGTACTCGTTGCGGGACCATAGTCCGCCATATTTTCCTCCAAAGGTGTGAAACATGGAGTCTATCCGGGCTTAAGAGTGAGTCAAAGGCAACCCTCGTCGAGAAACTACCATCGGTGGACAAACCCCAAATAATGTGGTCATCTCCAGCCACTGCTCTCGGAGGTAGAGTGGCAGCGATACGGAGTAGAACAGAGGCTGGGAGGTGATTTTGGAAAAGGTCCCAATCCCAGTCACCATTCTTGCCAACAAAGTACTCCACTATTTTCTTCGATAAGTCCTCCTCTTGTGGGTGGTTGGTTGCAAAATTAATCAAAGGTCCCGTCGTTCCCAACCATGGGTCCAACAAAAAATGGGTCTTTTCCCCATTCCCAATGATCCATCGCACGCCTCGAATCACATGGGGCCAAATCTTATTAATTGCTCGCATTAGAGGCGAGCTTTGTCGACGAGAAAGACTCTCTGAGCTTGTCAAGGGATTAATAGCGTACTTCGCCGTAAGGGTCAAAAGACCCCATCCTAGTTTCATCAAAAGTGCGTTATTCATATGTCGTAAGTTTTTAATTCCCAACCCTCCCTGTCGCTTTGGTCGACACACGTCGTTACAAGCAACTAGGTGAATCTTTCGCTTTCCTTCGACTCCACCCCTCACAAAGGCGCGACATCTTTTTTCAAGGTCATCGGTAATTCCACAAGAAAGCAACGCGGATTGCATCACATAAAAAGGCATCGTACTAAGAACAGACTGAGTGAGAGTCACTCTACCCGCCAAAGAGAGTGACTCCATGCGCCAACCAGAAAGCCTGTACTACACTTTTTCCATGATGGGCGCGTACATATTTTTGATACGCGCACATGGATCATAGGCATGCCCAAATACTTACCCAAATTATCCGTTAGTGTGAAATTTAGAAGCCATGGAAGTCTGGCATGTTCCTGAATATGCACAATATTGTGCAAGTGTTTTCTGCCATCCTACTACCCATACATAGACATGACCAAAGTACGGACCGGGTCACGGCCCGGCCCGCCGGGCCCCGGGCTAAAAAATAGG